TGCGAAGCGCAAGTGTTGTTCCGCCGCTTATTAAACGCAGCGTGTACACGTGTACTCGTCAACAACGCATTACAAACGCAGCATATTCAAGTGTTTTTTTTGATAAGTGAAGGCGTTTAAAACCTGTCGAGTGGATGTGTCATCGTATGATGTATCAACTGTTTTAATAACGCAACAAACGTAGCGCTTTGTTTAAAACGTCGTCGATAATTGAGGACACGTTCAACAAGTTTGGCGAATACGTTGCCGAAAATGTTTGTATCCACATAACGCCATCGAAGACGGGAGAGAGAGAGCACACACACACACAGAGCGTTATGCGTCTGCATTCGGAGGTGCTCAAGATAAGGCCGATATATCTACGCTGGTTTTGTGTCGCTATTCCAATTTCCCTGGTTGTGAAAATATGATAATGGTATATAAGAAAAATAAAGCAAGTTTTAAATTGAATAGGGGGAGGGAGGGAGGGGAGGGAGAGGGGGATCTTCAATGGTGAACTTGAAAGTGCTGTGAGTACTGTAGTACTGTAGACGTTTATCTGGCACTTTGGGGGCATGAGTTCGTCACGCAAACCACGAGAAGCAGACGAAATGTACTGCGGCACTACGAAGGGGCTGCCAAACCGCGGTGAAGATTTCCACGTGATGAGCCACTTTATCGAGCTATCATTTGTGATTGGCCAGATCGCTTCTGTAAAAGAAGCGAAGAGGTCAGTCGGCTTTATTTGTATATTTTAAGTTTTTTTTTATTTCCTATACTTTTCCCTCCTATCGTGTTTTTTGAATTTGTTGTAACGTTCTGACTTGCCTCTACTGGGCATCTGTGAAAAATAACTTTATATCGGATTCCTCCAGTATCAAAACACATTCTGATCCTGAACGATGAGGTGACACTTATTCATACTAATGCCCTTAATGCGACTCGCGTAATTATTTATTCTGTAATAAGTGGCTCAAGCTAAAGAGCTATTCACAATTACTCGATTCTGAGACACAACTGATTTTTAAAAAAATACAATTACATAATGGCCTATTTAGAGCCAAACCTGCCCACCCATTCACCTGGCAATGTGCGGACCTTTGTCAGTGCCGGATAAAGGCCCTACCCCATACCGTGTCGGTCATCGGGGTTGTTTTTACCACAGGTGCGATACTTAACCCCGCTGGACAGGTGAAAGGGGGACGCCTGGGCGGGTTCAGACATCACTCCCTCGCGACGTTAGCCTCGGCCAGGAGTCGAACCGCAGAATTGAAATGCGGTGTTTTTTCTGGAAGACTGCTGTTTTTTTCCTGGATTTTTCTGTTGCATGTAGTCACTTTAAGATGTTTCTTGTTCATGTTTTTTTGTTGCGGTTGCACCCGAGTCAAGAGCCGCATGGCTCATGGTTATATACCTAATACATGAAACTGAAATTGGAAACTGAACCCTGGACAACCGAGTTCACAGCGCAGTGCCCTAAACACTTGCGCCACTGCGTTACTGCTCCACCCCTCCACTGCGTCACCGCCCCCCCTCTCCACCCCTCCATCCCCATCAGATCATCACGTCTATTGTATCATGATATTAACGGGCCGCTTGTTGGAATGGAAACACACCCACGGTGTGACGCATAACTCAATTTACAAGCGTGTTCATGACTGTCGGCTCGAAGGCATGTGCCATTTATTGTAACCCCTTACCCACTCAACATCTGGCCTCGTGGTATATATATATGTAACGACTCCAGGAGACACTGCTCTTTTCGTGGTTCTTTATTGACAACGCGTTCACTTGACAGCGAAGAGCCCGACTCCAGCAGCAGCCACCGAGCATCTCCTCTCGGCCCCTTCTATCCCAAGCGTGGCCATCTCCCCTTGGTCCTTGGCCACTCTCGAAACCTCTCGCTCGCTCTCGATCCTTTATCCGCACCTGTTCCCTTCTGTCACTTGGCCGCAGCACCCTATTCTCGATCCTTCTCGAAGTCCCCAGATCGTTCCCCTGTCTGTCCCTTAACCTGTCATTACCCCCTGTGGCCGCTAGTCTCCTGTACTGTCTTTACAGATATATGAGGGATGGGTTGCCACCTGTTCTGGTTTTTCCAGGATCGTCCTCTATTTGTTGAGGGTAGCTGTCCTGGGGAAATCTGTGAGCCTTCCCGGAACATTAAACATTGAAAGGCCAATGCTTTGTGCCAGCTATGTGCAATTCTACCCCCTTCTGGCATTGTGAGATATATCTCTTCTTGGTAATTATTGAGGACCATATATATGGAGGCACGAACCCATTTAGTGATTTGTGTTAGCAGCATGATGTTACAATCCATTCTCATCCATACTTTAATTTACTACATTCACGACTGGTGGCAAGCGTCCATGGAAAGGTGTGTGTGTGCATAGTTCGTACATTGAACAAACCTTCCTCAAAGAGCTTCCCTGTAAAATGTCTCAGCGCATTGCAACTTCAAAATGAATTTGCATTGCCTTACACTTGAAGCAATGTGATTAATCATGGCCCGCATCGCATCCTGAAAATGTATGTAATCCCAGACATGCAATGCAATTATACAACACAATTTGGATGTATAAAGCGTCTAAATGTGTCCGCGTGTCGAGACGCTCAACGGAAACAGTGAGCATATTTATTTCGTGACGCAGTCGTTTATAGGCAGAGGAAACAAGCGAGGAAGCCATCGAGTCCGCACTTGCACGGGGCCTGGGAGAGTCAACACGGGCGGCTGGGAGAAGCTCCACATTGTAGGGGGGCAGCACTGGAGGATGAGTGACCTCCCATTGGTCGAAGGTTGACTGGAGGCTTCGTGGAGACAATGTTGCCTTCCTGAGTGACGAATCTCTATCACACAGCCTAAAACATTGATTGGGCTTCTCTGGACTTTTAGGCGCTTTACCCGAAGGGAAAGGTTTGGTGTTAAATTCGCCACTTTCCGAACACTCAATCAGCACTGGCCGAGACCCTGGGTTCAAATCCGGATGACGTTCCACCCCTCGATTAAACCAAGACCATTGGATCTAATTGATGGTATCAACTCATCACCAGTAATCGACATCTACTGAATTACTGTTATAAACGAAAAATATTAATAATATATTTAACAATAGATATATTTAACAAAAATATATATTTCACAATATAAATATTTAACAGATAAAACAAATTTGATTCATCTAACACCATCGCTTGATTTTTTTTCTTAAACAAATAATACAGCAGTCCAGTATTGCTCACTTCGAGGGTTAAAAGTTGGTTCGACAGAGGCGATAACAAAAAAAAAATTGCTTTACGCCTTTGTGTCACGCAATAAATGCGGGATGGGAAATGGCAAAGCGGGATAGGTCACAGGAAGCAATGAGATACCCCCGTGACGTCAGTGAGCACAGCAACGCGTATCACCAACGCCGAGTCAACAAGCTCGAACACTGCACTGACCCCCGCATCACGCCCACTCAGATCCAGTGGCTTCACTCGCGCACAATATCCTCAGCCACAACTCCGCTGCTGGATAAGGAACCTCTCACCTCCTCACCAAGTCGTCGGCATCTCACGCGGTCCAAAGATGCAACGAATCCGCTGGCAACTGCGCGCAAGCACGTTCCATTGATCCGTCTCTGCAGTGGGCGTTCCCTCCGTTGAATGCA